GCCCACCTAGCTCCTGCCCCTTCCCTCCCACCCCTCCTGGGTTCAGGTACCGCACGGTGCTCAGACCCAAATACAAGGTTGGCTACAAGACAGTAACAGACCTCGCCTGGCGTTGCTGCCCTGGCCTCACTGGAGAAGGCTGCCCAGAGCACCTTACTGACCATGGGGCTGCCCCACCCCAAGCAGAGCCCCCACCCCAGGTTCCCTCCGGGCAGCTGAGCCCAGGCTCCAAGTCTCCTCCATACAGCAGCGTGGCCCCCAGCCCCCCTGGTGAGTCTGCCCACAGAGACCATACCAAGGGGGTCAGTTTCTTGGGGTCAGTGGGGGAGGAGGGGCAGGGGGCTGAGCCCGGCTGGCTGGGTAGCATGCACTGACCAGGTGGGAGAGGGAGCCCCACGACTCCTCCCCAAGGCAGAGGGTCTGTTCCCATGAGGAGGTTGGCTTAGAACAGAAAACATGGACAGCCAAAGGACATGCCAAGCAAAGTGACATGCCCCCCTCTCCTGGTGTCCTCTCCTCCTCTTTGCCAGGAAGGAAAGAGCCAGGGCTGTTTGGCGAGCGACTGGAGCGGCTGGAAGGGGACATCCAGCGGCTGGCACAAGCGTACAGCACCCTCAGTGGCATGGTGGCCAGCCACGAGGACCCCAACAGGATGACAGGAGGCCCGAGAGCCCCTGCCACCCCCATGGGCTTCGGGGTTGTCCCTGAGGGCTTTGCGGGCCCAGGAGGCCAAGCCAGAGGGCTGCCTCCACCTGCACTGGATGAGATGCTGAGCAAGATGACTGAGGTTAGTGACAAGCTGAGGGCCAAGATGCAGCTGCTGGATGAGGTGCACGGGCTGGCCCTGGGCCACGAGGCGCACCTCCAGCGGCTGCGGGAGGCCCCACCATCACCGCTCACCTCGCTGGCCCTGCTGGAGGAGTACGTGGACCGCCGGCTGCAGCGCCTCTGGGGTAGCTTGCTGGACGGCTTCGAGCAGAAGCTGCGAGGTGTCCAGAGTGAGTGTGACCTGCGGGTGCAGGAGGTACGGCAGCAGTGGGAGGAGGGCCAGGCGGCCAGCCAGAGGATGCACCAGAGCCTAGATGGACGGGAGCTGGCCCTGCGCCGGGAGCTCACCCAGCTGGGCACTCGGCTGCAGGGCCTGAGTGTGGCTGGCGGGGGCAGCTGCTGTGGGCAGCTGGCCCTCATCAGCGCCCGTGTGGACAGCGTTGAGCGGAACCTCCAGGTGATCACTGAGGCCCAAAGGGGTCTCGGCCCCCCATCTGGGGGCGAGCTCAAGCGGCTCTCAGCTGCCATGCTGGATGGGCGGCTTGAAGGCTTGGAGACTCTCAACGGGTCGGAGAGTGGTGTGAGGGGCTGCTGCCCCGGGGTGGAGGATGGGGTGTGGGGTGTGGACGGGTTTGGAACCGAGTTGGAAGAGCGGGTACAGAGCCTGGAGGAACGAATGTTAGTGCTGGCTGGGGAACCCAGTCGGGACAGCACCCTGCCGGGCCGGGCCACCCTGCCCCTGCCGCAGACGGAGCTGGCCGTGTTGGAACAGCGACTCGTGTCGCTGGAGGCCTCGTGCGCCCCCAGCCCCACCTCGGCCGGCCTGGACAGCCTCGTGGAGGAGGTGAAGGCCTGGCGGAGCCACAGCGAGGCCCTCCTGCACCAGGTGGCTGGCCATTCGGCCCTGCTCCACCAGCTCAATGGCTCTGTGGCCCAGGTCCAAGGCCAGCTGGCGGAAGCTACAGGCAGCTCCATCCAAGGTGAGATCACCTTGCTCAAGGTCAATCTGAACTCGGTGAGCAAGTCACTCACCGGCCTTAGCGACTCCGTCAGTGAGTATTCCGAAGCCTTCTCGGCTGCCAACACGTCGTTGGACGCTCGGGAACGCAAGGTGGAGGCCGAGGTCCAGGCCATCCAGGGGCAAGTGAGCAGCCAGGGCTCGCGGCTGCGCTCCGGCCACAGGCAGGTCCTGAGCCTGCAGGGGGAGCTGGAGCGCCTCAAGGCTGGCGTGGCCAGTGTGGCCGGTGGGCTGAGCCGCTGCCAGGACACCGCCCAGGAGCTCCAGCACGCAGTGGGCCGTTTTGACCAGAGGGTGGCGCAAGTGGAGGGTGCGTGCGGGCGGCTGGGCCTGCTGACTGCGGGCCTAGACCGCCTGTCCACTGAGCCGCTGCAACCCAGGGCGGGCCTGTGGGACCACGTGGAGCAGCTAAACCGCACCCTAGCCCAACACACGCAGGACATTGCCCGCCTCCAGGATGACCTGCTGGACTGCCAGGCCCAGCTGGCTGAGCAGGCACGGCCAGGACCAGGCAACTAAGTGGGCGGCCAGGACCCACCACCCAGAGCCCATCAGCCTTGCACAGCCACCCCCAGCGTGGGGCTGCCATGTCAGGCCACAGGATGAATGGGCGTGGCCTAGCATCGCCGGATGACCCCAGCCCCCCAACTCCCCACTTGGCACTGCACAAACTGGACGGTGTGGACGAGCGGTAGGGGCGTGAACGTTGTGGCTGAGAACTAGAACAGGCTCGGGAGACCTCAACCCCACGGGTTGCAATTACGTGTCTACGGACACTCCTGAGCCCAGAAGCTCTGCCAACACTGGCTCCCCATGGTGGCTCTGGTGTCGCTCAGGCAGGAGCCCAGTTCCAGGCTGTTCCTCTGGGCCCCACACTTGCTCTTCCTCCCTTCTCCCCTTGGCCTCATCCCTAACCATCCCTGACGGTCCAAGGGGGCAGGGCTTGCCCAGAAGGCGATAGTCCTGGGGCTGTCGTCACACACAGCAGCTTCAGAGCTGCCGACTGTGCCCCGGTGTTCTGGGGAGAACAAACGTGGAGCCCATGGCCACCAAGGTGCTTCATTCCTCCAGTGCGCCCCCCAGAGGAGGGCGTAGGCAGCTGTGGACCCTCAGAGGGGAGATGTGGGTCCTGGGGAATCTTCTGGAGGACCCTGACCCCAATTTATCCAGTGCGGTGCCGCCTTCCCCACCCAGCTCAGTGCCTCTCTCCAGAGAGGGGTCCTCATGTCTGTCATGGCCTGAATGCGGTCAGACCCTGGAAAGGCAGCCACGGCTGTGGGGAAAGGGCTTCAGGCCCTGGTTCCTGGGGTGGGGGGTGGGGTGGCACGCATGTGGCACGGCGTTTGGACACAGACCTGGGGAAGGACACCTTGTAAACGTGCCCACTGGTCCATGTCTGCTCAGACTCTGTCCTCACTTTGGAACCACCGGGAAGGGCAGGTTCTGAATTAAAGCTTCTAGCCCATTGGAAGGCACTGTGTTCACCAGTGACTGGAGTGGGGCGCGGCGGGGGTGGGGAGCGGCGCAGCAGTCGTTCCCCACAGCCCCTCCTATGGGAGGTCTCGGCAGATGACAGCATGGACTGGGGAGGGTGGCCAAGCTTAGGACAGTCCTCAGGGAAGATGCCGAGAGCAGCTGGTGGTGGTGGTGGTGGTGGTGTATGTGTGTGTGTCTGTGTCTGTGTTGTGAGACACATTCCTATGGTCCTTACACTGTATAGAAATCCCCTGTCCCTTTGACTTGTCCGATGGCCTGGGCTGAGATTCCAGCCAGGAAGAGGCAGAGGCAGGGGGTGGGTTGAGCTGAAGTAAGATCCTGGACTCCGAGGGTATAATACCAGACCCTGGGCATGGGGGTGGGTCATGGAGTTCCCTCCCCAGGACCACTCAGCCTCTCAGCCACAGGGTGGCAGGCCACTCCTGGCCTGGCTGAGCTCCCTCTTAGCTTTGTCAAGAGTTAAGCCAAGGCCCCTGAGTGATAGGGACAGAGACCATGGGCAAAGAGAATCCCGCCAGGACTATGAATGACATTTAATTGGTACAGGCCAGGGCCATGCTGAGGCTTGAAGCTTTCCCCCAACCTCTTGTCACTCAAGAGATAGGACACAGAGGGGCAAGGGTCTCCAGGCTTGCCA